CTTGAGCCGGTGAGATTTGAACCGCTGAACTGCAGATAACAGTCAGCTGAAGTGGCCTGCAGTGCTGCACCCTAACCACTGCACCACCTCGGCTCTTACCAATACACCAATACAAGTGCCACCACTGGCTTTATAAGATCACTCTTTTAAAATTGCTAATTTTACGCTTTTGATGTTGGTGATTGGACAAGGCTACTTTGGGAAATTATCATCATAAGTATTATCAAAAACAGAATTTAAAAACCTGGCATTATCATATTGTTGCCACAGAACAGACTGGGAGAAAATTTCAGCAGCAAATGCATAACCTCTGATTCCAATGAATTAATTAAAATGAAGCAGCTGGAAAATATTAATGAGGGGACCCCATTTTGTTTCCCTTGGGAGAACATTCTGGGTGATGTTATCCCAAAGGACTTTGTGTCTGTAACAATATTACAAGGAATAACAGAACATGATATAGATCTGGACTACTGGTCTTAGACACAGCAAATAAGATTAAATGCAGGCGTCAGGAAGAAATTGGCCCAGGGACTAATAGAAGGAAATGGATGTTATTTTTGCTAATAAGTGCTGTAAAGGATAATAAAGTAACATGAACAACAATTGTTGAAGTTGATATGCCAATACAGATATTCCAATGTACAGTGTACATTGTATCTCTATATTTTGTTCCTCTGTTCAAAAACAATGATAATGCTCTTCACTTCTATGGATTTGGTAACCCTTTTCAAGCTGGTGGCTTCCAAAAGTGTGAAAATATGATACTATCACTCCCAAAATGGGGAAGGAGGGATGATGCACATTTCCTTTAATACTAATATGTTTAATGTGACACAGTATAAGCTTTTTATGGAGTAGATACCATGGAAGCAAAGTCTATGCTATCCTCATTAAGCATGTGTGTGTTTGTGTAACGTAGGCTCTAATTATATTTGTAACGCAAAATATTACTCATATCATTAGAACAAGGCTAAGCAACAATGTTGTCCTTGAAACTTATATAGATTGCCAGGAAGGCTCAACAGTCAATCTACATGCCTGTTCATGTGTGTATATGAACACACATACTCTGCTCATGCCTTCATCCATATTTTCTCTCTCCCCTTTCTACCAAAGCCCAGTTCAAATAAGGTGGCTTGGTTGCTGAGGATTGAGTGCCTTCATTTTATTATTGATAGCTGCCAATCATATTGATTGGCTGCCCATTGCAAAAAGTGAGTGGAGCTTGGATTTCTCCAAAGGTGGCATCTTTTGTGACTGAGAAGTAAATGTGCCCACTGGGTGGCAAGTATTCAAGTATTAGGTATCCATCTCCTACTTCATTTAACAACATGGGTGTTTGCCATAATGGGTGAATAATCTCTCACTACTTTCTATATAGAACAGACAGGTTAAGTTTCTACCCAGAAGATTACATGGATGAAAATCTGATACTCTGCGGGGAGATATTGGTCATTCACAAATACTATTTGGAAACTATTTAAATCTTCCTAGTCATTTTTTTTTACCAAATTAAATTTTTGCTAAATGGTGTGATCAATTAGTTCTCTAATTCCCACAGTGGATTTAAATTATTTTTCACTGGCTAAATCAGAGCCAGGTATGGATTCCTTAGCTCTCTTCTTTCCCATCCATTTCTCAATCTGGGCAATTTACAGGCCTGTAGTCTTTAACTCCCAGAAACCCACAGCCAGCATGGCTGTTGATGAGATCTCCAGGAGTTGAAGTCTTCACACCTGTAATAAGTGCCAAGGTTGAGAAACCTTGCTCTAGATACTCTGGTTCATTCTTGTTCTAGATCTCTTATTTTGTGAGAGTTATTCCCCACTTTCTCACTTCACAGCTTCCATGTACAGAAACTATAAACCTGGGGAATTCCTGAAACACATCCCAGAATTCTGGGGCGTGTTTTACTTTAGATTTTGATACTTGGCTCTCTGTTTAGGCTCTCAGAATATTATTTATTTATTAATTAGACTTATATACCGCTTCAAAGGGCTTTCAGCCCCCTCTAAGCGGTTTACAGAGTCAGCATATCGCCCCCAACAACAATCCGGGTCCTCATTTT